ACAAAAGAAAGTAAAAGGATTCAGCTCTTGCTATGGATCAACTCTGAAGACAGTGAGATATCATAAACAGTGACCGACGCTATCACATGGTCCCACATTCCCACATCGGAGCGTCTCAGGACGACTGAACTGGAAACAAGGGCCCAAAGGTGCAACACATTAGAACACATGATTTAATGTTCTGGTGACAGAAGAGTTTGAAATATGATGCAAAACGCTGTCAGAACATGATACAACATGAGATAGAGAACAGCTTGGGAAATAAACGCTCCAGTTCGTCCTTTTAACTTTTTTTTAATCCTATGGAGTCCCTTATGTTTCTTTGCACTGATGTTATTTTTGGCACAATACAGGCCAAATGTCAAATGCCTTCACTCTAAAAAATGCTGGGTTGTTTTTTCAACCCAAACGCTGGGTTGAGACTGTTGGGTAAAGATGCTGCTGGGTTGATGTAACACAATTTGGGTTGTTTTTAACCCAGCATTTTTTACTCTCAGAAAAAAAGGTACAAAAGCTGCCACTGTGGTGATACCTTTTCAAAAGGTACACCTAAAGAGTGCATATTAGTCCCTCAAAGGTAAATATTGGTAAATATTAGTACATAAATAATACAATACATTACAACCCTTTTGAAGGGTACTGTCCCAGTGACAGCTTTTGTACCTTTTTTTTCTGAGAGTGTACCAACACAGTGTTGCGTGTACGCATCTCTGTACAATCTGAAAGTAACAGCACAACAATTGTATTGTTCACAGTGTGTATGTATAGTTTGTGGGCTATAATCAGCACTGTGTATAAAAACTGTATTTTAATATAAGATTTTAATATACTGTGTATATTAAAATCTGCACCAAGGCCTTTACAACATTTTGGGTTCTTGGTTTTGAAACAAACTGAAGCAATAAATGAGAAGCAAATGCAAAATACTCTATTGCCAAACTAAAATCCCCTTTAAAAAACAACTTTTTAGTAAAGTAGCCTAAATGAGACTATAAAAGGGGGGAAGATTAAGAACAATGTGCATTTACTTTTAAATTGTAAATTTTTTAGTTCATGTGCTGATGCGTTAGTTAAAATAATAAGAAACATTTGCAAATTTGGTTTGGTCCCCCAGCTTAACTTTTACAGAATGTATAAACTACTTTTGATATAATTTGTATTTATATATATATATATATATATATATATATATATTAAATTCAAAATACTAAATCAACTATTATATTTTAAATAGAATTTTGACAATTTAGTTGAATAATTGAATAGCCGATGCGCAGAATCGTAGTAAGAGATTAATCTGAAAGTTAATATTTACATATTTAATTGCCCATATTTTAATTGACGATATGTCATAGAAACACTATGAATGCAAATGGAATGATTTCACTCAAGGTTTTAATGAAAGCGAATGTGTCTAAAATGTACAAAATTCATGGAAATACTGAATAAAAACTCCATTAATTGCAATAATTATTACATTTAAAAATAACAACACTAGAACATGCCACTCGGGGCTTCTATGCCATTTCTGGTGGCCCATCTTACCCCAAGGGTCTAATTTGATCTTTTTATTTCAAACAAACAAAAACCATCCAATCTAAAGACATTAAAATGTCCACAAGTCCCTCATTAACAAACGGACACAAAAACAATGAAATGAGATTAATTAACTTCATAATAGTTTCGGCTAACTAAATCCATATTGATATTTCGATGAATTGACAAAATGCAAAATAGCGTAGTGGGTCATCTTACCCCATGTGGCATTTTACCCCGACTTACCCAATATCATTCCAGCATTCACAAAATGTGCTTTTCGCTTGCTTGCGCCACAGAAAAAAAAAAAAGTGTAATCATGACTTTTACACAGAAAATAAAAACAGAAAGAGAATAAATTAGTTGTCATATTTCACTAAAAAGTTTCTCGACCACGATTTCATTCCACTCTCATTTAATATTCAGATTTGTTTGTTTTTTACAGTGACATTACTCAAACAAAATCAAGTCAGTTTGAGAACCGTATAAAGTTGGAGTGAGTCTCCACATGCTACACTCTAAAAAAATGCTGGGTTGTTTCAACCCAAATTTGGGTCAAATATGGACAAACCCAAATGTTGGGTTAAAAATGTAATTTAAAATTTTAACCCAACTTCAACTTTCACTTTCAACTGTACATTTTTAACCCAACATTTGGGTTTTCCATATTTGACCCAACTTTGGGTTGACCCAACTTTGAATGGATTTCATCAGAAAGTTCCCTGTTCAGATTATATATTGTGGTGTGTGAAGTCAAGGCTTAGAAAAACAGAATTAAAGTTTACATAACAGCAACCTGACAATCAGAAAGCGAAATGCCACACTAAAAGGTTTTTGGGAAACATGAGATGCAGTAACATCTGTGCTTTTAAGCTGAAGCATGTTTGTGTCTCTTCTGAGGTCGAAATCTGATGAACTTCTCCTGTCACTCGCTTTTTGTATAATTGCAAAATGTTAGAAGTCTCATTCAACACAAGTCAAGTTTAAACAGCCTGCATTTGGCTTGCATTTCCTCAGAAACGCTGCAAGGCCTGAATTTTCACCTTGATGGCTTGTGTTTCAGATTTCTTTTCATTACATAACACATGCATGGCAAGAACTGAAAGATCCTCATAAAAATTGTATAAATTGTTTCATGCAAGCCAAATGAAAACATGCTTTAAAAGGTAGAATTATGAAATTGTGTAAAAAGCTAAGAATTATGTAGTTTTTGACCTGTTATACTTGTTGATTATGAAGTGTTGGTTCTCAATGTTTTGGTCATGATGCATTCTTACTGATTATGCATGTGTATTATTGATATAATAGATTTAAATGCTGCAATTAAATTTTTTTTTTTGTTAATGACTTAATGACTTAAATATCTATCACACAAAGGCATCAAATGGCTTTCGAAGGATCAAAAAATCATGCACGAACAACCACATTTACTGTCATTTTTTATCTTGAACGGCACTAACATGGCTTTTTCATTATTAATCAAAACAATGAAAACTGAATGTATGCAGTTCATGGTTTAATTACATTTTACATTTCTTTATGCATTTACCAGACGATTTTATCCAAATGCATTGGCTGCAAAAGCTATTTTCATATTTTCAACAACATCAGAAGTGGTAACATAAAGCTGACAGGAATTGTAGTGAATGTTTTTGATTGCAATATTTGATTATGGCAACAGTATTACGTGTGGCGTCAGTCAGCATTAACAGAAATACATTCAATGTTGGTCAAAAATCTTGGAATAATTAATGTTTTTGGAAACAAAATGCCTCTTTTGCTCACTAAGGCTGCATTTGTTTGATCAAAAATACAGTAAAAACAGTAATATTGTGAAATATTATTATAATTTAAAATAACTGTTTTCTATGTGAATATATGTTAAAATGTAATTTATTCCTGTGATCAAAGCTGTATTTTCAGCATCATTACTCCAATCTTCAGTGTCACATGATCCTTCAGAAATCACTCTAATATGATGATTTGCTGCTCAAGACACATTTATTATTATTATAAATGTTAAAAAACAGTTTTTGCTGCTTTATTATTAACAATATTAAGACTAAGTAAAATCTTTAAAAATTAATACTTTTATTCTGCAAGGATTCAATAAATTAATTCAAGTGACAAGTGACAATATATATATATATATATATATATATATATATATATACTGTATATATATTATATGTATAAATGTTGTTTGAACTTTTTATTCATCAAAGAATCCTGCAAAAACAAATGTATCAGGGTTTCCACAAAAAATCTATTATTCAACATTGATAAAAAATGAGAAGCATTATTAAGACTTGAGCAACAATTATTCATTATATTCAATTATATCAAAAACATTTAAAAAATCTTAATTATTCCAAACTTCTAGTTTAACATCATGGCTAAAGGAAAGTCACAGTACTCCTATCAGCTCGTAACATCTACATTTCCTGCGTGTTTAAATATTAACATTTTTGCAAGCACTGATGACCAGCAAAGATTATTACGAGAGGGAAACCCACCGATGCTATACTGTGGTTAAGGAAGTAATAGGAAATGAATACAAAATCCTGATAGACAAATCAGTGACTGTGGTTTTCAACCCATAAATGCAAGTCAATTGATCTGATAAGTGGTTTCTGTGTGAGGGATGTGGCTTTACCTGGCTCAGGTGTCAGGGTTGGGCCTGTTATAAGCCAATGCAGACGGGAAACGTGCACAATCCTGGGAAGAATCTGCTTTTCTCCTTTCTTCACAAACAAGGTGAGCCGACAGCAACATCTTTTTTACAGCAACCATTCAATATAATGTTAAACAGCAAATCTAAACTCCTTTGAAGATATAAAGCTAGAGGATTTCTGTTTTCTCTTTGAGATGCAGACCTTCACCTGTGTATGGTGGGGAAATTTGACTTGCGATTTTACTGCTTTGTAACACAGGTCCATATTCATTAATGATTTACTAAAGCTAAATTAAGATTAATGCACTCTAAAAAAATCCTGCTGGGTTGTTTCAACCCAAATTTGGGTCAAATATGGACAAACCCAAATGTTGGGCTAAAAATGTAATTAAAAAAATGTACAGTTGAAAGTGAAAGTTGAAGTTGGGTTAAAATTTTAAATTACATTTTTAACCCAACATATGGGTTTGTCCATATTTGACCCAAATTTGGGTTAAAACAACCCAGCATTGTTTAGAGTGTGTGTCGGTTGCATTCAGTTTTGTTTTTTTCTCTATATGCAACCCATAAAGTTTAAGTATGGTCGCTTGTTTTATTCAGAGGTGATGATTTTACAGCATCTGTCGTAATTTTTAAGTGTTTTTCCGACAACACTTAAAGCTCTTTTATGTTCACTCTTAATATGTTAATGATGTCCAAGGGTCAAGGCTGGAGAAATAAGGATAAGTGTGTTTGGGAAAACCGGCCTCTGGTGCTGATAAGGTTTCTCATATAAACACTCTCAGTTTGTGATTTTTTGTCTCATTGCACACACAGTATAGAGACACTGGGATATCATGCGCTTCAGCGTCTTGTTCTTCATCGTCCTCCTGGGCTTCCTCTACCTCACACTGGCTCAAGGTAAACGCCACATAATGATGATGATGATGATGCAACTGTTAAGCTTGTGTTTTAAATAATCGGGTTACTTTTTGAGGTTGCAATGTATTAGAGTTAAGGAAAACATACCGGAACGCATTGCATAGTGCTTTAGTTTGCACTTATGAGATTCAGAACAACAACAAATAAATTAATTGCAAACTCAAATAGTCATTTTGCCTTTTCAAATTCATTCTAAAAAACACACAAACATCTTATTTAACGGTGCAGCAATTCATGTTAAAATGCATGATTTTAAACGTTAATTAAAATCACTCATGCAATACAACAAAGTCTATTTTTTGTCATGTTTAGCATAATTGTCATAAGTTTTAGTGATATAGCATGTAGAATGTGTCTTTTTGGAAACAATAACTAATTAATTACTCCACTCCTGATTAGTAAAATAAAAGCAAATAATAATTTAATAAGAAATAATACAAATTAAGTTCTGCTGATATACATCTCATGGTTACTAAACATTTGTTTTCTTTGCCGTGCATATTTTGAATAATTATATACATGATATGATCAAAAAGTTATGATACATGTGTTTTTACATGGCGTTAACTCATCAAAATAAGTTAAGCAATTCAACTTTTTTTATAAGTTATACAAGATTCAACACATTTAAGTTCGTTTAATGTAAGTTAAGTTGAAATGACCTAAAAATCCAAGTTGATTGTACTTCAAAATTTAAGCTAGCAATCATCCGGGAGATCGTTCTTACACGATAATCTTTTCACCCCTTCCCTGTACATTTATAGTTTTATGAGACAGTGACACATTCACTAAATCCTCCACCTGTAAAGGACTGTAAAATAGTTATGATATGTTGTGTATCTCAGGCTCGTATGAGGACTGCTGTCTGCGGTACGTTAGAAACGTTAAACAGTCCATGAAGAACAGAGTGACCAGCTACAGAAAACAACAGCAGGACGGAGGCTGCAACATCCCTGCTATTGTGTAAGCAACATATATATAGGCCATGAGACGGGACCCCAAATTTGGACTACCGGTACCATTTTGAGGGATTAAATTTCTTTTTGATTTTCATGAAGGTACACATCTCTAGTGTTGGAAAATGTGTGATAGCATCCGATCCATGGTAGCTTTCATTAGAAATCAAAACTTATATCATCCTACCTCAAGGTAAGGTGTTCAGTGACTACAAGAGAGAAAAATGTATCCTTTTATAATTTAAAAAATTTATTAAAAATAATTATAATTTTTATAAAATTTAAAATTTATTTAAAGATAAATTCATTTATCCTTTTTCTTGACATATGTTTGAAAAATCGTCCTCCGTAACCAAAAACTACCTTGAATCTTATGCTATCACACATTTTTCAAATACAGGGTCATATACCACTCTATACAATGCTGGGTTGTTTTAACCCAAATTTGGGTAAAATATGGACAAACCCAAATGTTGGGTTAAAAATGTCATTTCAAATTTTAACCCAACTTCAACTTTCACTTTCAACTGTAAATTTTTTAATTGCATTTTTAACCCAACATTTGGGTTTGTCCATATTTGACCCAAATTTGGGTTGAAACAAAGAGTACACAAAAATCACCATGCGGTTTAATCCCTCAAAATGGTAGCAATCAACCCTCTGTCTCACGGCCTAATATGATCATTTATAAATGTCCATTTTGTGCACTTACTGTGTATAAAAAGTAAAACTTCAAAGACTCCACTTTAAATTTTGCATGTCCATTTATCACCTCATAAATAACATGTTTCAGGTATAGAAAATATAGAAGTCTTGAGTTTTAATTCTTTCCATATGGGAAGTGTGTGCATAACACGTTTGAACGTCTGACTTGAGAGACGCGGGACACTCAGAGGTGTGATGCGAGAAAATGCACTTACCCAATTTGGACTGTTATATTCCGTCTACATCAGACCTCATGGTTAATGATGTTTAATGCAATGTTTTGCAGCTTCACACTGAGACACGGCCGTATGTTTTGCGCTGATCCCAGAGAGAAATGGGTCCATGAAATCATGCAGCGGGTGGACAGACTGCAATCATCCTCATCTATGAAGAGGAAGGTGTGTACATTTTAAAAATGTATATGTTGCTATAGGAGATCATAATTTCTGTTTTATTTTCTTAGCAATCATTTGTAATCATTATTGGCTTTAATACTCCTATTAATACACCTATTAATACTCCTGCAGAGTGAAAAATTAAAGTATTTTGAATATTTTGAGTAAATTGAATATTTTTAAGGCAAGACACTACAGGCAAAATGAATTCACTGGTCAATTTTGAGCTATTTTGCTTGCATAACATGTTTTCCTTCAGACTAGTGGAAAGAAAACATCTAAATTGTACATTTATGTATTATTATTATTTTATTAGACTTTATTTGCATCTGCATACAATACAAATCTCCACGTCAGAAGCACTTACTGTACATTCACCAAACTTTAGTTTTCTATATTTTAAAGGTTTTTATATGCTGAGGGTGTTGTTAATCATTTGCCTGATTTTATATTTTATTTCTTAAAAATATAGTGAAAAAAAATATTCTGCCTGTTGACAGTGTTTTTTTTATTTATGGTGTAATGAATGATAAATGTTATGGACATGTATGAAAATTAGGGCATATTTAATTAGATAATGCATCATTTGTCTTAATGTACTGTAATTAACTCTTTCCACGCCAATTTTTTTTTTTTAAAGTTGCCATCCAGCACCAGCATTTTTGATAATTTTCACACAACTTAGAATACTTTGTTGTAGGAATATCTGAACACGCAATATATCGAAATAAAGAAGAGAGCCTCTGTAAAAAAAAAAAAAAAAAAATATTCTACCTTCATGCATGTGGGTAAATTTTATTTAAAAAAGCATTTTTTTTTAAAAAACTACAACGTGTGAAAGCAATGCTTCTATCGTTTGTTTCCGCTTCTTCATCGCCTGTGTCTTGGAAAATTCCGCCAATAGTGGAAAAGTCTCATAAAAGATGGAAAATTCCGTTAATGGCAAGGAAACGTTGTCTCATAAAAGCCGGAAAATTCCGTCAATAGTGGAAAAGTCTCATAAAAGATGGAAAATTCCGTTAATGGCAAGGAAACGTTGTCTCATAAAAGCCGGAAAATTCCGTCAATAGTGGAAAAGTCTCATAAAAGATGGAAAATTCCGTTAATGGCAAGGAAACGTTGTCTCATAAAAGCCGGAAAATTCCGTCAATAGTGGAAAAGTCTCATAAAAGATGGAAAATTCCGTTAATGGCAAGGAAACGTTGTCTCATAAAAGCCGGAAAATTCCGTCAATAGTGGAAAAGTCTCATAAAAGATGGAAAATTCCGTTAATGGCAAGGAAACGTTGTCTCATAAAAGCCGGAAAATTCCGTCAATAGTGGAAAAGTCTCATAAAAGATGGAAAATTCCGTTAATGGCAAGGAAATGTTGTCTCATAAAAGCCGGAAAATTCCGTCAATAGTGGAAAAGTCTCATAAAAGATGGAAAATTCCGTTAATGGCAAGGAAACGTTGTCTCATAAAAGCCGGAAAATTCCGTCAATAGTGGAAAAGTCTCATAAAAGATGGAAAATTCCGTTAATGGCAAGGAAACGTTGTCTCATAAAAGCCGGAAAATTCCGTCAATAGTGGAAAAGTCTCATAAAAGATGGAAAATTCCGTTAATGGCAAGGAAACGTTGTCTCATAAAAGCCGGAAAATTCCGTCAATAGTGGAAAAGTCTCATAAAAGATGGAAAATTCCGTTAATGGCAAGGAAACGTTGTCTCATAAAAGCCGGAAAATTCCGTCAATAGTGGAAAAGTCTCATAAAAGATGGAAAATTCCGTTAATGGCAAGGAAACGTTGTCTCATAAAAGCCGGAAAATTCCGTCAATAGTGGAAAAGTCTCATAAAAGATGGAAAATTCCGTTAATGGCAAGGAAACGTTGTCTCATAAAAGCCGGAAAATTCCGTCAATAGTGGAAAAGTCTCATAAAAGATGGAAAATTCCGTTAATGGCAAGGAAACGTTGTCTCATAAAAGCCGGAAAATTCCGTCAATAGTGGAAAAGTCTCATAAAAGATGGAAAATTCCGTTAATGGTAAGGAAACGTTGTCTCATAAAAGCCGGAAAATTCCGTCAATAGTGGAAAAGTCTCATAAAAGATGGAAAATTCCGTTAATGGCAAGGAAACATTGTCTCATAAAAGCCGAAAAATTCCGCCAATAGTGGAAAAGTCTCATAAAAGATGGAAAATTCCGTTAATGGCAAGGAAACGTTGTCTCATAAAAGACGGAAAATTCCGCCAATAGTGGAAAAGTCTCATAAAAGATGGAAAATTCCGCCAATAGTGGAAAAGTCTCATAAAAGATGGAAAATTCCGTTAATGGCAAGGAAACGTTGTCTCATAAAAGACGGAAAATTCCGCCAATAGTGGAAAAGTCTCATAAAAGATGGAAAATTCCGTTAATGGCAAGGAAACGTTGTCTCATAAAAGCCGGAAAATTCCGCCAATAGTGGAAAAGTCTCATAAAAGATGGAAAATTCCGTTAATGGCAAGGAAACGTTGTCTCATAAAAGACGGAAAATTCCGCCAATAGTGGAAAAGTCTCATAAAAGCCGGAAAATTCCGCCAATAGTGGAAAAGTCTCATAAAAGATGGAAAATTCCGTTAATGGCAAGGAAACGTTGTCTCATAAAAGACGGAAAATTCTGCCAATAGTGGAAAAGTTTCATAAAAGATGGAAAATTCCGTTAATGGCAAGGAAACGTTGTCTCATAAAAGACGGAAAATTCTGCCAATAGTGGAAAAGTTTCATAAAAGATGGAAAATTCCGTTAATGGCAAGGAAACGTTGTCTCATAAAAGACGGAAAATTCCGCCAATAGTGGAAATGTCTCATAAAAGATCCGTCAATGGCAGGGAAGTGTTGTGTCATAAAAGACGGATAATTCTGTCAATGGAATTTGAAGTGTTGTCTCATAAAAGCAGGAAAATCCCTTCAATGGCGGGGAAGAGTTGTCTCATAGAAAATGGAAAATTCTATCAATGGTGGGGAAGCGTCTCAGAAAAGCCGGAAAATTCAGTCAATGGCGGGGAAGAGTTGTCTCATAAAAGAAGAAAAATGTCATCAATGCTGGGGAAGCGTCTTATAAAAGGAATTTGAAGTGTTGTCTCAAAAATGACGTAAAATTCCATCAATGGCGGGTAAAGAGTTAATCAACTATAGGGAATGTATGCGATATACATCAATCGGTTCAAAGTTTAATTCACCTGTGGTGTCTTGCCTTGAATGTACAAAAATGCCATAATATCCATAATAATTATAAAATATTCATTTTGTCAAAGAAATACAGTATGTTTAAAATATAAATCTGTTATGCATTCCTTTTCTTTTGATATACAGAATGTAAGGGGCTAAACAAGCGAGATGACCAGTGGGAAAGCTGCCCGAGTGTCTCGGCCAATCACATTCTTTCTTTGAGTTCCGGCTCTCCGAGCGCATATTTCAGCATGGATTGGCTGGTGTTCTTCACAGTACTTCCTGTGTTTTCCACTTCCTGTGGTATCAGGTGGTATTTCCTGTTTCCAGACCTTTGTCTCTTCACTGACGGACTGCTGGTTTAATGCACAGAATGGGAGATGGCCACTATTTTCCCTTTTCCACATGCTGCTGTAACCCTCACTTCCAGGCTGTGTTACCAAACCTCGTGAGCTGCCTTGATGTCTACTTCTAAGTGCATATAAGCAACTCAATCAGTGCTCCTCGTGTAAGACTTATAATTCGGCATTGCATGTTGCTAAGCTAACAATACAATAATCTAATAACCATAAAAATAAAGTATATTTGAATTCCTTTCGCAATGTATGTAGTATTTGATGCTTGCTATGTAGGCAGCTCACTAGGTTTTAGAACAGAGCTTAATTGTACAGGGGTCGTATTAAGCTATTGTATCATGAACTTTCACTTTGCACACTTTGACTGACTGCTTTTTGCCCCACAGTATCTATAATAAACAGTCAGTGTGATAAAATATTAGACAATAATTAGCTATAACTGTGGGTGGGAAGGTTTTGCAAGCAACACAGATAATCCTTCTATTTCCTTATGAGTTTATTATACAGCAGACGCACCGACAAGAGATTTTGGAGTTTGTACGGTATTATAATGCATTGTAAATTATGATTTGTTATTGTGCTTAATGCAATAAGCTTAAGTGATTATAGCCTATATTGATCAAATGAATGTTCATAGATCTCATTTATGTTTGTAAATCTCAATTTCTTTACTCTGTCTATTTAGGTGAGGTTTTATATGTTTAGTAGAGTTTATTATTTAAGTGGAACTGCTGTTTTTCACATTTAATGTTCACTTTAACACCCGATCCAGTGAGAAAGTATCTTTATAGAGGACGTGATGCAATGAGTTTTATTGTTCGGCTGTTTTGAAACTGGGCCACAAGCTCTTTGTGCTCCTGATCAAATATTCTTTACACTGCAGATTTTTGCTCATAAATAAAAAATAAAATGTTTGAAAACAACTGGATTTATCTTTTCTTTTCTTTTTTTTACATGATGCAAGTTGATAATTGTGAGATGATTTTTCAAAACTGAGTTATGTTTATTTTAAGTATCAGATGATTCTCCTAAAATCCCTTAGAAGAAATAAATGAGTAATAGTTGTCATACTAAGAGTATAGAGACATAAAATTAATAGAAAGATCTCTGAATTTTGATTGAAGACTAACAAAGTGTCTTGGAAAATCTGACATGTTTTGAGTTTCTCTTTAGAGAGTAGGAGACAGTAATAATCCATTTCAGGACATGTGAAATATAGTTGTAATTGTGTTGTAACCTACTTTCACTTTACCGTGAAATAAAAGACACGTTGTGCAATATAACAGGGTCAATAAAAAGCCAGAGAATTATAGCCTGTGGCTCTTGTGAAACAGATTGCTAAATTTACTTTCTAAAGGTCATCTTTTACATGGCGGTACAGTGACAGTATCGGATAGTACTTTTATATGTAGGGGTGAAATCAGTGTGTTTGGGACACATTTCCCCATTGAGAAACTTAAATGTCCCACTCAACCTGAATTCACCACTGGATTATTGTCATAAATAAATCTTTCCTAATCTGTTTTTTACATGCAAACTTACAATATAACATTGGTATTTAAATTGCACGTAAAGGTTCTTTAACGAATACAATGGTATACCATGGTAAATCTCCCAAATACATAGTGCCATGCTATTGTTTTCTTAGTGAAGGATGTGCCAAATTCTCCCATGCAACCATCACGTTCTTGTCAATAGCAAACGCTTTAGACACGCTGTCTGAATATCCGCCTGTCCTGCAGGTTCCAGCGTGCAACTGTTGTCCCGAAGCTCTCGTTTCACGAGTAACATGTGAAGTCCCGTTTCTGCACCTTTACGCCAGTTTTCCTCTCTCTTCCTCGGTGTGGTGATAAATGGTTAAGGCATGTCTGCTCAGATAACATCTCGGCAAGTGTCTTCAGAAATTGGCTTCCTCTGTGATAAACTGTTTCCAGTCGTTACAGTTTATTCTGCCTTCGGGCCAAACATATCCCGCAGCGAAGTTGGATTTCTATACATCAAATGCGCAAATGGAGGCTGTAAAATGTAATTTACCCTGGTAATGATATGACTTGAGTAATGAAGATAGTTATCTTTATGGTTCAAAAGCCTGAGGACTCAAGCGTTACACAGATGTATCACTACAGTCAACTTATAGTTTTTACCAATCCTTATGATATTCACAGAAATGACTCTAATTAATCAGTTCAGGGAATCAACAATATACAACCTTTTGACAGTCTATGTATACAACGCGAATAGCTATAAATTTACGAATCATGAACAAATTAGCCTACTTTTATCAACTTGTTTTAGTGAGTCAACATCATTCAGTGCCTATGGAGGACCAGCTCTACCATATTTAAAAATAAATACAGAAATAAATAAATGCTCAATAAATAAATAAGCATACAATTAATTGCTCCAAAAAAATACAATAAACAAACAAATGTAGGTAGAAATTAAATGATACAGTGAGACATAAATGTATATATCTCTAAATTAGCTTCTTTATTTATTCATCTTTGTAATAATTACCTTATTTATTTATGTGCATGTTATAATATTTTTGTCTGTTTTATTCTTCCTTTGTATTTTGACCGATGCAGTAAAATGCTAACCAACCAATGGGCAGAAGTTGACCCCTTAAGACACAGCCCCTCCTCATTTGCATAATGAGGCAGAAATGCATACAGAAATGTAAAAACGACAGGCAGAAATAAATAGCATTGAAGAAATAAATAGGGTAAAAAAATACAAAGGAAGAATAAAACAGACAAAAATATTATAACATGCACATAAATAAATACTTAAAAAAATAAGTAATTAATAAATAAAGTTGAAGATTATAACGGACAATAAATAAATAAGGTAATTATTACAAAGATGAATAAATAAAGAAGCTAATTAAAAGAGATATATACATTTATGTCTCACTGTATCATTTAATTTCTACCTACATTTGTTTGTTTATTGTATTTTTTGGGGCAATTAATTGTATGCTTATTTATTTATTGAGCATTTATTTATTTCTGTATTTATTTTTAAATATGGTAGAGCTGGTCCTCCATACAGTGCAACCAGTGTAGACCCATAAAACAATGACTCTAAGTCAGTTCTTTTTAGTGAATCTATTGGTGTGTTCGAGCAAACAGTTGTGGGCCATATGGGGAAAAATATATATATGGATGTCAATGTTGCCCCACAACTGTTTGGTTAAAAACATTCTTCAAAATATCTTTCTTTGTGTTCAGCAGAACAAATAATTTATACACATTTGGAACAACTGGGTGAGTAAATGATGACAGAATATACATTTATTGTATATCACTAAATACTATTAGTTCAATTTACGAACAAATGACTCCCCCTTTTTTGTTAGTCAAAACATTAATTGCAACAAGCGTAGAGCTGTTTGCAAAAAAATGATTCTAATGAGCAGGTTCTTTTAGTAGTAAATCAACAACACAGGCATTTAACAAGGCGACTAGATGAAAATGCGTCTCTATACGCGTTGTGTTGATCGTGCAATTTATACGCGAAAATGAATTTTTACGTGCATATGATACGCAGTTTTCGCGTGCATTTGATACGCACTTTATTGCGTGTAATACACACGCACCCCACACCACTAATCCTACCGAAACGTAGTACACACGCACCCGACACCACTACTAAATCTACCCATGCAATTTATACGCGAAAATTAGTTTTTACGTGCATATGATATACGCATGGGTAGGTTTAGTAGTGGTGTCGGGTGCGTGTGTATTACGTTTCGGTAGGATTAGTGGTGTGGGGTACATGTGTATTACACTCAATAAAGTGCGTATCAAATGCACTCGAAAACTGCGTATCATATGCACGTAAAAACTAATTTTCGCGTATAAATTGCACGATAAACACAATGCGTGCTATAGAGACACATTTAGTGTGATCGGGTTGGTAGTTCAGTTCACTAACAAATTACTTTTATGAGCCGGTTCGTTTTAGTGAGTCGAATAACATTCAGTGCAACCACTGTAGTTAGTTGAAAAATATTCTTTTGAGCTGGCTCTTTTTAGTGAATCACTCAAAAAGACGAGGTTTGACTCAGCTTGACAAACCTTTTGCCAGCCAAAAACATTGATTTTTACAATGAAATATATACAATAATAATATTATAGGCCTATGATAAAGTGTGTGTCTAATGTCACTGCATGCAGAGAGAGAGTATTTATTTTCCTTTAAAGGAGAACTCCGGCGCAAAATGAACCTTTGGTCTAATAAAACATTGGTACCTAGTCAACCGTTCTCTGAGATTTGTTTTCATGATAATCGAATGTAAAGAGTTGTATCTCTAAAAACTGTTTAACGTATAACGTTAGTAATGGGGCATCTATTAAGTAAAAAGAAATCGCTAGTTTATACCACTAACAAGACTCAAAATAGCCCCACACGAACACAGTAACATAATGAGGCTCCCTGCATGCAAAACGAAGCATTGAGAACTTTGTAAGTGTACAGACCGTTTAATAAGAAGATATTTTATAAAGACGGTCCACTTCGTGTATACAGACAGGAGCCATCTTTGGAAAACAGTCTCGACTAATCAAACCATGAACGCCATTCATACAGTTCAGCTCACTTAGCACGTCGTTCGTGGTTTGATTAGTCGAGACTGTTTTCCAAAGATGGCTCCTGTCTGTACACACGAAGTGGACTGTCTTCATAAAATATCTTCTTATTAAACGGTCTGTGCACTTACAAAGTTCTCAATGCTTCATTTTGCATGTAGGGACCCTCATTATGTTACTGTGTTAGTGTGGGGCTATTTTGAGCCTTGTTAGTGGTATTAACTAGCGATTTCTTTTTACTTAATAGATGCCCCCATTACTAGCGTTATACGTTAAACAGTTTTTAGAGATACAACTCTTTACATTCGATTATCATGAAAACAAATCTCAGAGAACGGTTGACTATAGGTACCAATGTTTTATTAGACCAAAGGTTCATTTTGCGCCGGAGTTCTCCTTTAAGTATATTCTGCCCAACCCTGCAGGTGATCGGGGCCTCAGGGAACTTTATCATCAGGGATTAATGCATAAAAACCAATTCAGGTGTGCAACAACATCCTTTCAGAGCCAATAATGCAGAATATAAGGAAAGCAAACCGTA